AAGGGTGGAAGAGGCACCTGCACGACAACGCTGGACCCTCACCAGCACGGTGGAGGAAGTGCTGCTGGAGGGAGTAGGGCCAATTCGTGACATTAAATTGAACGATTTCCTCCGCAATACATTGGGCGGCAGAGGAGTCGTGGAGTCCAATGAGAATGTCTCTATTGAGAATTTTATTGCGCTACCCGATATATTTATCACGAATGAGAATGATCGACGCCTAATACTGGCGTCGCCGTCTTACACGGCCATAAAGGAAGAAATTGAAGATGCACGCAGGCTGCATGCGGATGCACGCAGGCTGCGTGCGGATGCACGCAGGCTAATGGAACACGACGTGGGTAACCTCCAACGTTGGAGGGGTTTTGAACACAAGGAAATTGTTTTTCCTATTACAAGGTCAAAACTCAACAATGCCCTTGCCGTGGCAGAGAGGGCGGAAAGGGCAATACTGATACATGAAATTGCCAGTGAACCGTTATCGGAGGGCTTCTATCTCTCTGTGTTAAACGCGCAATGCAGCCACGTCTTGGGATTTCCCGAGGCCGAAGGGGATGCGATGGTGGTGCGAATGGAAGTGCGTCAGGGCCAACCACCAACACAGTTGTGGGACTACAGGCGGAAGGGCATGACTTATGAGCCGATGGGCGGTAAACGGCAATTTATTGCACCGCGCCCAAGGCTGATTGTGCTCACCTCTGAGAAGGGGTGGCCCTACTCGTTGAAGCAGAGAAGAGCTTTTATCGACTGCTACATCAATTATGAGGTGGAGCGTGTGTGGAGGATCGTCAAGGGCGATCTAGATGGAGAGTTCGGCACTGCAGACCTAAAGGGCGTTGACGTGAGGCGGCGTCTCTTGATTGGGACGCCGGGCATCGGGAAGTCAATGGCTGCCGGCTCCTACCTCCTGTACAGGCTGCTTCACTACGACGCGGCGAGGGTTCAAGCGGTGGTGTACAGCTTTGGGGGAGACTTGGCCTTCGTGTTTGACAAAGAAAATCAAACGGTGACAAAATACGGGGATGAGCTCAATGTTAACAACGCTATGAATGATTTGGTTTGGCGGCGTAAGCTGAAAGGGTATGCTATCTACGACGTGGACAAAAAGGGTGAAGAACCGTCGAAATATTATCCGCCCTCTGAAACATGGGGCGTCATTGTGTTGTCCTCACCGAACGAAACCAACTACAAAGGGTGGGAGAAGCAAAACGATGCCATGCGAATCATCATGAATTGCCCGGACGAGCTTGATGTGAAGGCGATGTGTGCCTGGGAGACGCGGGCTGAGCGTGCGCAGTCGCAAAGGGAGCACTGGGAGACGGTCAAAAAATACATGGATGATGTGGGACCGATATTACGCTGCATCTTCAATTTTGGTGACTGGAAGAAACGCAATGCCGCCGCCAACGACGAGGTGAGTAATATCAACGCTTTAAATGCTGAGTATTACATGCGCGTGGAAGCTGCGGTCGATTGGACTGAGACCAATGCGTCTCACAAGCTCGTGAAAATTATTCGATTGGTGATTTCGGGAGGGATTGAGAAATTTTACAACGGGTATCTTACCACACACTTTGGAAATATGGTAATGGCTCGGGTGTCGAAGGTGAAGTCGTTGTCTGAAATGATGAGGATGATGTTGCTCTACAGGGGCGCACTTGTGCCGGCGCTATTGGAGAGGGTTGGTAAGCTGGCATTTACTTTTGAGAGCTTTCTGGTGGCGGTGAAAGAGAAATACGTGGAGCTGGTTCAAGGAAGACGCAGGCGACGGCCCTGTGTGCTGAAAGAAAACATTGTACTGCGCCCCACCAGCGTTGCTGAGTTGAATAGGAACAACACTAGTAGGAAACCTGCAGTAACGGACGCGGTGATGTACTTGCCGTGTGTGCCAAACTTTCCGCTGCTGGACGCTCTTTTTTTCCTGAACACAAGCCCGAGAAGGACGATGGTTGGGCTGCAGATGACTATAGCAAGGTCGCATAACACAACCCACACCACGCTGAAAACTTTTAACGAGGATATGGCGAAGTGCTTTAATAATTGGGACACCATTTCCCGGGACTTGTCCTTGGAGATTATTTACGTGCAACATGTTGAGAGTACACCAATGCGTCGGTGGCAGAATTGCACCGGCATCCAGGAGTTGAGGAGAGGGAACGAAAAGGATAAGAGAATTGCAAAGTTGTGGACGGACGCACATCAGTATCAGTTGCCGTTACTATACGAAGACGTCCCAAATTTCCCACTTCTTCAATAGCCGTAGGAACAGAGGAGGCGATTAGGAAATGGGCGCAGCAGTAAGCGCTTTCAGTGAAGTGTTTTATCGACTATTTTTAAGGGCTTGCAACAGTAATGATTGCAGTTTGTGGGTGTGTGCCAACAATATTTCATAAATAATAATCTCCTCTGCTTCTTAGTTTGCTGCTGTGCGTAGGGAGGGAGGGTTTGGGCAAAGCAGTGTGTGGTTTTGCAGGCTGAAGTGAGTTTACCAGCAATAAAAAAAATGAAAGAAAGCAAGCATGCTCTCCAGCACGCAGCCATCATGTGTGTTCGGATGCGGAGTGGATGACCGGCATCAGGGCACCGGCGTCTTTGGTGCGGCGTAACGGCCCAGAGGAGGCGTTTGTTTTTGTTTGATTTTCCTTCCGGCACCGTTGCCGCCGTATGAGTAGTTGCGGTGTGGATGGCATCCTCGCCCTGGACGAGAGGGGAGCAAACTGTTGTTGTCGTGCATTTTCATCCGGGTCACACGGCGGCGTTGGCCACGTTGCGGGGTTGCAGGTTATATATATATATAATTCACAGTGCCGCGGAACCCCAAAGTTTCTCCGGGGCCATTTTGCGGGGGGGTCGGGTCGGCCCCTG